GTCCCAGTCATAAACTTATAGCTCAAGAACTTGGGTTTTAGAATCCTTGACGAGTAGTTTAAAATCCTCATTCCACTTTGGATTCAAGGTCCCGTTCTTGATAGATGTTTTTCCCAATGTCCTTTTTACACCGCTCAACGTTAATTTAACATATGGATCAGATGTTCCTAAAAGATCTATCTTCCAAAGCCTCACTGCCCGGATAACTTTTACATATAATATCCCGCCAACAGCCTTGGCAACTCTGCATGGACACATAACGCACACACTCAAAAAAGGTGGTAAATGGATGAAAATATATCACGAGGGAAGAGGGGGGGGGGGGTGCAATGGTATACTAATAAGGTGTGATTATTAGTCATTTAATATGGACTGCTGGTGTAAACTTTGATAACCAACACCACATCTGCAGTCTGTATAGTGCTTCAAAATGCATCAAGGTCTGATATAATTTGTACAACCACTTAATATCAGTCTAGAATAGTAAAACTAAACCAACAAGCAGACCTTCGAGAAACTAGTTCATGAACAAAAAACTTTTTTCAACACATGATTTATGGCAAATTGACAATATAATTGAATCAAATCTAAAACAAAGCTAAAGACAGCACAAAGGACCCACAAACTGACTGAGCATTGTGTAGCAAAACTGAGATTTAAAAAAAAAAAAAAAAAATAGAAGCAGAAGACATAAAAGTAAACTACTGCAGTAGCTTTAAAAGCCAAATTTGTCTAATCTGACATAACATAGGTTAAAGCCGCTTCTGGAGTTCAGGAAACTAAGAGCTAAATGGAATGAGTAAAAACAGCAGACCCAGATTCACAAAATTGAAACCAGGACTTGATTAAGTTAGAAATCAACTAAATGTATTGTACACCAGCTGAACACCAAAGCTGAGAATCCGAGACAGAATTAGTTTGAATCAGAACTATCTTCAACAGCAAACACTACAGCAGTGTTTTTTTTTACAATAAAAGAAAAACTTTTGACTGGTATTGTAGAGATCTCTAATCATGTTATTAAGAGTCACCTCAAAGACTCAGAGTACCTGCTATATATTGTAAACATAAAATCCCCAAACAGGTTCCTTTTACAGGTTCTTTTCGACTAAATTAGTGAAGATTTTACAGTTTGTTTTCAAACGAATTTCATACTATAAAGATTCAGTGAAGAGCATAGTGTCAGGCTGAGCCACATTTGAATTCTCTCCTGTGTGTGATGAACCAACATTAGAAATAGTTGTACTTTATCATGCATTATTACTAAAGGACTATGTTGACATTAGAAGAATCATAGGCAGAATTTTTTTGCATATATATTAGCCACCACTCATCAATCATCCCCTCCTTTTCTGCTACTGTAATTTCTCAAAATTAGGTGAAAAATTACCAGGTTCTAGAAAGATTTGTTCTTCCACACAAAATATAAATACACGTACCATATATCAATATATGTGTACTAGCTAAAAACCAAACTAGTAAAGCATACTCACCATAGAAAGTAGGTGGAAGGGTTCCAAGACTTAGGTTCTCTAAATTAATGTCTATCTTATATTTTCCTATGAAATCAAATTGTTTAGGCTTTGCCTTGTTTTTGATCTTGTTGCAGCTTTCCTGTTCATATTGATAAATTGAACATCAGAGTTTACTCAAATAGTAGTTTCGCACTTTTGCCAAGAAAAACTCACCGTATCAAGATAAGGCCACATATATAGCAAAAACTTGTTCAGCCAATCCACCTAATTCATTGAAGCCTGCTTAGGATATCTTCATCATAAAGGTAATTAATAAGAAATCTGAAAACTACTACTTACTCGATCATAATCGGGACTCTTTACCCAATTTGGAATATAGGGTAAAGCACTCAACAGAGTATCTCAATCGAATTCCTGAAGTGGTATAACAACTGGCACCTGCGCCCATATTTAACAAGCTCATGAGTAAAAAACATATAAAAAAACCTTCTTCATGCAAACATAAATTAAAATTTAAATCCCACTAGACCCTTGCTCAAAGATAATCTTTTACATTATTGAGATGTAGAGGCCCTTAATTGAGAATAGGCTACAATGTATTATCAAATATAATATTAAGGTGTATCAAGATCATCAAAGGTGGTGGCTTAAATAGGATCAAAAGCATTGTATTGATATTATTCAATCTTAAAGTCACGGGTATCAGCCCCAAATTTTTACCAACTAAGCTAGTAGAGACCCACCACATGGTACATATTGTTGTATTATAAATTTGATAAACGGCTTTCATACTGGATCGCCAAGAGAGTACATCACAGGGCGCAGGGACATGCAATTAGAACAATAAAAATAAAAAGAGGGGGGGGGGATCTTTATTCTGCTTATACTGCAACCATATGTACATTATAAGAATAAACAAGATTAATTAAAAACCCGAAATCACCATCAAAGTATTGAAGATCTTGCAGTGTTTTTATTTGATATCAGGCCATTCAAAGAGAGATACATCAAGACAACATCAACCCATTTATATGATTACATTCACACCTCTATCGATCCAGATATAGAATGCAATGTTAGCAACTTAGCATGAAGAGAGGAAGACTAATTTCTTCTCAGTCCTCCTACTCAACATGACATCATTGCCAACTATCAAACAAACAAGAACTTTAACTATATTATGAGCTAATGTAGCCGAAATCTTCAATTCCTTGTACAAGTATAATTCTGGTGCATGAAATTCAGTGAATGAACCAACTTAGCCAAAAACCTTAGCTGCAGAAACTAGGGCTGAACAAAATTATCCGAAAAACAGAAAACCTGAACCGTAATTGAACTGAAAATTAGGGTACCCGTTCCGATAACCATAACGATTCGGGTACCTGATCCAATAAGTTTGTTATCGGGTACGGTTATTGGGTATCATTTTAAAATTAACGGTTACCCGATCCGATCTGATAAGCAATTTTTTCATTTTCTTCCAACTTAAATCTATTTATCCAAATCCTAAACTCTTAATTTACTTCATAATCACTTCATAATTTAAATGGTTAGTAATATTATTAGTAATTTGGTCATGATTACGTGGTATTATTGTTAATTAGTGTTGAATGATATCATAATAACTAGATTATAAAGTCTAAATTTTCATTATTGGATAGCATATTGGGTACCCGATAACCGATCCGAAAATCCGGGTATCCGAAGTTCGGGTACCCGAACTTATCGGTTCGGTTAATGGATATCATATTTAGTGTTATTGGTTATCGGGTATCCGAACCGATAGTGTTAACGGTACGGGTATCCGACCCATGCTCACCCCTACCAGAAACCCATTGAATGTTTACGTAATGACCAATTCCTATTTTTCTCTTTTTCAAGACTTTGCAACGAATTATATCAAACGAAAAGGTTGGAAGTAGTCAACTATATAACTCAAATTAAAGCACAATTGCACAAATGCTATAGTTTATCCATAATGATAATCATTCATTTGACATAATACTAAAAATTCAGCTGAAAGAACTAAAACCCAAGAATAATATAATACCATTATATCAAGCAAAAACACACAAATAACATGACAAAGAATTGAAAATGAACACAAAGTACGTTAACAAAGCAAAGATCATCTCAGCTTTACCCGATTTACTTTGAATTATAATCCCAACTTTTGATTATTGTATAATAATCCCAACTTTCACCTGTGTTTTCTTCTAACAATCCCAAACCGGTCAACAAAAGTCTAACAACTTAATATTTAATGTCAATTGATTTTATTTTTTATTTTGGGATATTATCAATGGTACCCCCCAGGTTTTGACTTTTATCAATGGTACACATCATTAAACTTTCATTATCAGTGGTACCCCAACTTTTACCTAAATTACTACAGTAAGCATGACGTTAAACAAACGTTAATGAAAGCGTTTTAAAGGTTAGGTTAGCTGAAAATACTTCATTGCCCCTCTCATCTAATTTCCCTCCAATCTTCCCTTCCAATTTTCCCTCCTTTTTTTTTTTTTTTTCTGAAATTTGCCTACTTATACACCCTTCCTGTTTCCCCTTTAATTACATTCACGCCTTTTTTTCTTCTTTTGATTCCATATCTTCACCTTGTGGAAAATCAATGGCATCATCTGGCAGGGCTTCATCTGGTAGGGCTTCATCTGGCAGGGCTTCATCTTCAACTAGTGTATATGGAAGAGGTGATTGGTTCAAAGGCATGAATTGCAACTGTGAACCTCCAAGATCTGCAGACATTAGGTTTTCTAACTCTACAGCCAATCCTGGAAGGCCTTATTATAAATGCAGGTTATGTGAATTCTTCATGTGGGTGACTGAAGATCAAATTGTAAGGGGGAGGCAAGGTTCCATGGCTGAAGCATCGTCTGTACAAGCATTAAGGGCTGAATTTGCAGAGTTTATGCACAAGACGGATGAATTTGCTGATTTTGTGTATTTGGTTGTGAAATTGGTTGTGGTGATGTATTTGGTGTTGCTGGTTGTTGTCCTGAAATAGTTGCCTTGAAGTTTTAGGTTTGAAATAGATTAACTAAGTTGTAGTTGGTGTTCTACTTTGAAATAAATGGCAGTGGTGTATTTAGTTGCCTTGAAGTTGTAGGTTTGAAATAGATGAACTAAGTTGTAGTTGGTGTTTTAGTTTGAAATAAATGACAGTGGTGTATTTTGGCATACTCTTGCAACTTTTTTCACTAAGTTGCACTCTTATTTTTATGAGCAAAATTTTTAGCAATTATGTACTGATAATTAAGCAATGTTGCATTACCATACAAAAAAAACATTATTTCATACTAAAACTTGTACATATCACTAAGTAATGTTGCACTAAGTAATGTTGCATTACCATACAAAAAAACAGAGCATCTACCACTGCCAATTTAGTACTAAGTTCAGCAATGAAATAAAACAAGTTCAGAAGTACTTATGAAACTAGTTCAAAAACCTACATAAGTTTGTCAAGAGTGAATCAAAAACTACAGAACAACTGATGCAGCTATGATATCAAGTTTGTGACAAGTTTTGTGGTTGGCTTGCCAACTGTGATTGTGACAAGTTTTGTGGTTGGCTTGCCAACTGTGATTGTGACAAGTTTTGTGGTTGGCTTGCCAACTGTGATAAGGAGAGCTCTGTTGCAGTTGCTGCAGCTTTGGACTGAGCTCTAGTTTGCCTTGCAGCATTTGATTGATCCCTCACTCTTGGGTTTTTAACAACCATGGCCTTAACTGACTGAAGCTCCTTTCCAGTCAAACCCCCTTTGCAATTTCTTGCATTGTGCCCCAAGTTCCCACAGTTGCTGCATTTAATTGTTCTAGACCTCTTCCCTGGTTGGTCTTCACCCTCTTCTCTCTTCCTGTTTCTACTTGGCCTACCAACACTTCTCTTCATCTTTGGTGGATGAATGTGAGGGTGGTTAGCATCAGCAGGTGGCCACTGACTTGAATCAGGAACAGGGTTTATAACATATTTGTAAATTTGCTTGTATGTTCTTGCAGTATACCAAGAGCTTACATAATTATGAGGATCAACCTTAGCATGGAGCATTGCCCTCACTGCATGTTTGCAGGGGATACCAGAAAGTTGCCAAGCTCCACATGAGCAAATTTTGGAGTTTAGACTTAGAGGAAACTGGGACTTCCCCTCATGTATCTCATACTCTCCTGGACTTGACTGAAAAGCTCTGCAGGTGGAGGTAGCTTTGCTAATTTCTCTGACCATCTTTGCAATCTTGGGGCATAAATCATTATCCTCCCATTCTTGTGCTCTCTCATGCCTTGAAGCAATCCTGACCATACAGACTCTTCTAATACCTTTCAATTATGCCAAATACAAGTATTAGTACACTAAATCAGGTGATCTTGTATGAGGAGTAATAATTTGCAAAATGTAGAAGTATTACCTTCAAGGAGAGTTAAGACAGGTCTGCACCTGTCAACACCTAATGTGGAGTTAAAACTCTCAACAAAGTTAGAGGTGTTTGAGTCATTACAAACATTTGGATCAAAAGCATGTTTGCTCCATTTTGACTGATCACCTAACTCAGCAAACCAAGTCATAACATCCTCTCCTCCTTCCTTTTTCAACTTCTCCATTGCTTTTCTAAATGTGAACTTATTTGTTGCATTGCATGCCCTCCAGAACAAAGTATACATCAGAGGACCTGGGAATGCTTTTTTGTAGTTTCTGCTTAAATGCCTGCAGCAATACCTTCTTTTTGCAGAAGGCCATACTTGTTTCAGGGCAATATCAACTCCCTGGGTTTTTAAGCCACAAAATTGATAAGTTTAATTACTAATCAGTTATGTCAGTAGAAAAGATAAATGAGGGAAGGTAAGAAAGTTATACCTTTTGTCTGTCAGATATAATAGTCCAATGTTCTCTGCTTGACTGCTTGACTATGTTGTGAAGATGCCAGAAGAAATAAGCCCAAGTTTCTTTGTCTTCAGATCTCACTATGGCATATGCTAAGGGATATATTTCATTGTTGGCATCTACTGCAACTGCAGACAGCAGAATACCACCATAATTGCCCTTCAAATGTGCCCCATCAACCCCAATCAAAGGCCTGCAACCTCCAAGAAAACCCTTCCACTGTCCAGCAAAACTTATGAAAATACTTGTGAAGAGATTGACCCTAGGAATGCTTTCACTCAGTTCCCAAGCTACAAATGCCATTGACTCAGGGCTAGTGAAGCATATCATGTCAGCATACTGTGGCATAAGTGAGTAAGACTCATCATGACCCCCAAACAGTTTCTCAATTACAAACCTCTTCAGCCTGTACAATGAAGCTTGTTTCATATATATCCCAAACCTCTGAAACAGGAGTTCATTCAATGCCTTGCCTGGAATGTCTGGATCAGCCCTAATATCTTCCATCACCTTAGGAGCATCTGATAGGCCGTCGTCGAGCCTACCAAAGATAATAATTCCTATCTTGGTCTCACTAACAATAGTAAGGGTAAGAAAGGGTCGAACCCAAGAGAGGCGTTGAATCAACCACCGAGTACTACCGTTTAAATAAGCTAAACGAATTCTAAATTGGGTTGGTTTTGAGTAACTTCTTCTAACACAATTCAACTAAGCTAAGAGGAGGTTAACAATATTTAGAGGAATCTAGGGCTTGGGTTATACCACTAAACTTCATCACAAATCACAATTAGCATGCAACAATCAAGGTAAATTAATGGGATAAATTAGGGGAGGTCATCTAAAGCACCCAACTACTCTCTCAAGCTAGAGGGATTACTTGAATCATGAATACAACCTACTCTCATGGTTACATAGCATAAAACAAGTGTTAAAGCATAATCATGATGACATAAACATTCCCTTGACCGGTAATCCCTATTCTCATGGCATTTCGGGTCAATCAAGCATAAGGGAGCTAACTCAAGTTCATCTCTCGATCCTTCGTTGAGAAAGCTTGGATAAATAGTTCTAGCAATGGCCATATACAAGAACTAAGCAATTAAACCACTTAAGCTCAACTAATTAACATCCCACAACAACCAAATTAGCACATGCAACAAGTGATTAGTGACTACATTGAGGGTTTTGCCCAAACCCTAGAATTTAGACTACTCACAATCCATAGGGGTTAAAGCAATTAAATATTTCAAGCAATTCATGAACAAATTCAAACTAAGGATTAAGCTAATTAACAATCCAAAACATGCAAGAACTAGCAAATAATCAACAACAAAGTAAAGAGAAGTAGAAAAGATGAGTAAGAAATGGTTACTATGAAGCTTTAAGGTGAGCAACAATGGTGGATTTGTCTTCTACAATGATTGAATTTGAATAATTCCAAGCTAATAATTGAGAACTAACTAATGATTTGAGGATTTAATGTTCTAAGACTACAAACTAAGAGAAAAGCTCTGAAAAACTGCCTTTTTTTACAAATGAGCTCTCAAGGGGTATTTATATGACCCCAGAATAAAAAGGACGGAGAAAACAAGGAAGAAGTTCGACTGCAGGTCTGCACGGACGTGCCAGATTTGGCATGGACGTGCAAGGCTAAGCACGGCCGTGCCAAGTTTGGCACGGACGTGCAGAGGGGGCAGAATTGAGGCAGAACGTACTGCTAAGAGTCGAGCAGTTCCGCACGGACGTGCAGATATTGGCACGGACGTGCAGCTACATCTGCACGGACGTGCTTAATTTGGCACGTCCGTGCAGATCTTGGCAGAATGTTCTGAGTTTCTGGAGCACCCTGCACGGACGTGCAAAGTCTGGCACGGCCGTGCACCCTCTTCTGCACGGACGTGCCAGATTAAGCACGACCGTGCAGGCCTTGGCAGCTTGCTGAAGCCTTCTGGAACCTCTTGCACGGACGTGCAAGGTCTGGCACGGCCGTGCAGGGTCTTTTAAGCCCCTTTTTTTTCATCTTTTCTTCTATAATGCTCCTTTCCTTGGCTTCTTTCATCCATCTTCTTGCTTCTAACCTCGGCTTTGTATCCATGGGCTCCATTTGGTCGTTCTTTTGAACCTAAAATCTCAACAAAAACACCAACAACCCGTGAAGCATAGGATACACAAAAATTGCATAATAATAGAGTAAAAATGAACCAAAACGCAATTTTTATCAAGTAAACAAGGTTCAAAACACCCTAAAATCGTATCAAATAGCAAGTTATCAAATCCCCCCAAGCTAAGCTTTTGCTCGTCCTCGAGCAAAACAAAAATGTCAAACCAAAGGAGGAAAACAAATTGCTAATCATCAATCCAAGGATAGGCAACAAGGGGAAGCATACATAAACAAATCCGCATGGTGACAACCATCATCACTTTTAGCACAAGTGAGAAGCAATTTAAACCTCTAAGTCGCCTTAGAGGACGAGTTTTTATCTCGTGAAGGTTTCCAATGAGTTTGCCCCACAACTCACGCAGTCCACAACACAACGCCAAAAATCGCACAAGTTCAATTTTTCGCCCAAGTCAACTCATCGGGATATGAGACACAAGCAAGACAAGTGAACAACTTTCAAGAATTACCAATCATACAAATGTACACATGAGTTGGGGGTAGAGAGGAGAACTAAACAAGGTTGCACTAGGATACTTCCTTTGGCCTTTTACTAGTTCATTAGAGCACACCTAGATATTCCAAAGTTGTAACAAGCCCTCTTTCGGTTATAAAATCTCAAAATGCTAGTCCACCTCCCAAAATGCACACCCAAGGCCCCTTAACTACACTCTAACTCGGGAATTTCATAAGAAATAACAATGCAAACAAGGTGTGGGAGGCATCCACGAGTTGACCTCTAAAGAAGAGAATTTTTTTTTTTAGAAGTTTTGGGGTAGTTTTTGTTCTCCCCTTTTTTTATGCTCTTTTTTTTTTTTTTTTTTCAATTTTCAATGCCCTCGCCTCTTTTAACTGTGAGCGGCTCTTTCTTTATTCGAAACATGTGGCTTATTATGCCACTTATTACACATAATACAAGTATAAGCAATTCCCTAATAGAGTTTCATTTCGGGGAGGAAAGGAGGCACATTAAGGGCACAAGGGACCGCAATTTGATTCAAACATATCCTACTTTGGGCAAATTAAACAATATCCTATGCTAGACGTGCAATTGAGCATTCATCGACTTTCATTTCATATACACTAATGCAACCAGGATTAATAGACCTCTAAATGACCCCAACTCTTGCATGCACCCTTCTAAAAGAACTTTTACTCATCACTCAAGAGTCAAGCAAGAAAAACATATTAGCGTCGTCATTTGAGTTTCATCCTTGGGCAATTTTTTTTTTCATTTTTCAATATTTTTTCGTTTTTTCGATTTTTTTTTTTTTTTGAGTAAGAAATGAAAAATTACAGCATTAGGCTAGCTAAACTAAGCATAAAAATAATAATAAAAAAAACTATACATCTAAATGAAAAGATAGGAGAGGTATTCACAAGATAAGAAATTTGGATTTAGGGTATTGGATTTCAAAGGGAGCAAATTTGGATTTAAAGGATTTGGATGTTAGGGAAGAAGAGAATGGGAAAAACCAACATGCAAACTCAATCATGGAAACACGAAAACACAACACGAACCAATGACACATGAGAGAACACTCCCCCCCAAGCTATCATAAACATTGTCCCCAATGTTAAAGCAATGCAAGCACAAAGAGAAGGGGAGGAAGAAACTAACGCATTGGTTCGGGCCCCCTTGGGAGCTTGAGCCCCCTGGGTAGAGATGCCGGTACATAGTGCGGAAATCGCCCAACTCCGATCTGAGACCTTCGAAACTTGTTCTCATGTTGTCAAAAGAAGACCTCATATCTTCGTTTGATCTCCTTAAGGTCTCGAATTCGGTGGTAATGCGGGCAAAATTCGCATTCATGTTGGCTACCTGCTGCTCAAAAGAGATGTATGGGTTATTTTCACCCACACCTTGATCTTGGTAACCCTCTTGGTCCCTTTGTTGGAACTCGTGTTGTTGATGAAATTGTTGTTGCTGAAATTGTTGATGATGTTGATGTTGTTGAAATTGTTGATGATGTTGTTGCTGTTGTTGTTGTTGGAATTGCTCCTCACCGCCTTGGGGTTGGTCATCTTCTCCACCTGGAATCCATTCAAAATCCGGCTCAAAGACCCAATTCTCGGGGTTGTAAATAACCGTGGCTTCCGGATTTGGCAAAGTTGCATAGGGGCGCCTACTTACCATCCACGTGTAGGTCCTACCCTCTTCATCTTCCTCCAACCAATGCATAGCCTTGAGGGAGCGGATGTCAAGTGTCGTTGGCCCGGGAATGATTTCCAAATCTGCAAAATTAAGATCGAGAAAAGCAGCAATAATAGTGATCATCCCCCCAATTGTTATCACTCCACTCCCCGAGGATACATCATCTAGGTGGTCTACAAGCCAAGCCCCTAAGTTCAACCTCTCGTCACCCTCACTCAAGTGCCAAAGAAAAAGCAACTCACGGTTAGAAACTACACCCGAACTATCTCCCCTAGCAAAAATAGTATTAGCTATTAGGCGTTGGGATAGTCTAAAGGCGGGGTGTACTATGGCCGTGGCCTTGTCGGTCCTAGGATCTCTAGTAAATAGGCCGGTGATTTTTCTCCAAAAAGATCCCGAGTTATGCTTTCGGGAAGGCTTATCCTTAGGTCCGAATTTGCCATCCGTTGGCCACCCAAATGCTTGGTTCACTTGTTCTATGGTCATCTTGTGATGGGTGTTCATCAATTGGAAGGTCAGGTAACGGGGGTTGTTGCGGTTATCTCGGTGGACATATAGTGAGGAGAAGAATTCTAAGGTAAGTCGTTTATAGGTGTTAGCATGCATTTCTAACCAATTTGGGACACCGGTTTGAAAAAAAAGTTGCCTCACATCATTCTCTACACCTAAGGCTTCGGCTACCTCATGGTTGTAAAATTTCGTTGGCCGGATTCTTCTCCTACTAATTCTTAGGTAGTTGTCCATGAAATCCGAATTATTAAAAACAATACCTAGGGTGTCCACTTGTGGTGGTTCGACGGTTGATGGTGGTGGAGGGTTTCTAAGCCTAGCGGATGAGGTGTTTCTTGGTTGGTTTCTTCTTGAAATGATCAAATTTTTTTTTAGAACACTTCAAGCAAGCACAACACCTAATGAACAAGTATTTGAACACACAAGGCTCTAAGTCTTCCACCTAACCAACACACAACAAGAACAAGCCTGAAAATTGAAAATTACCAACAATGATCTTATCAATTCAAACAATCAAACACCAAAATTGTCAATGTGCACAATTTACCAACAACAAATCAACAATCCAACACCAAAAGCATCCATTCTCACACAAACCTATCACCAACCAAAATTTCAATGCTCTCAAATCACGCAAAAAACTTTTTTTATTTTTTATTTTTTTTATACTACTAAACTATCAAC